GTCAAGAAAGTTATCCCGTCTAGTGACTATATTCATAGATCTAATCTAATATTTCTTGAAAACGCTGATAAACAAGAGAAGCAAGAGGAGAGATGGAAACGTAACAGCAAAAATGTATTCACGCTAAAACAAAAAAAAAAAACTGTAGCATTTTTACTCGCAAATATTTACTTATTTTTCTTTCGAGATTGGAAATTGTTTATTGTTTTATGAATTCAACTTTATTGAATTTGAAATCCAATAAGTCAGATCGGAGATATTTTCATCGGGAGGAAATCAATTTACGGTTTTATAATGTAATCGATTTGACGATAACACTTGGAGAACTCTCTCTAACAGCCGCATAAAATTGATATTCACAATTACAACATTCCTACACGTCTGTACATTTAGTGTATAATAAAGAGTCTTGTGCGTGGAGACGTGTCTATAGAAAAAAAATCTAAGGAGTTATTCTCAGAAAAAAAAAACTGTAGATCGATTTTTATAGTATATCCGTCTATTGTGACCTTCCCCGGGGAAGACTCCCTCAGATTATAATAAACGTTAATGTGTACTTGTGGACCAATCACAGAACCTGATCTTCAATAATTCTATACTTGTGTCCGTCAAAACTTAATAAATATCTATATAAATGTATAGGAAGACAAGGTTTCTCACGCAGACAGTTGGATATGTAAAAACTGGATCCACAGAGTGTACCCAACAATTTTATACTAAAAATATATAAATGAATTTGTCTCGCGGACTTACAAAACTAAACTGTTTAATCCCTACCGGGTACTCAACAATTTTCTTCAGATGTCAAGCAGATCTGCATATCTAGATAGATCCATTCCCAAGGTAACCAAAAATTGTATCCCTGAGCTAGACAAAACTTGATAAATATATAAATGTATTTGTAATAGTTGTCGCGCAGAGGTGTAAAACTAGACACTTGATTCGACCCCAGAGTGTACCCAACAATTTTATCACTGTGCCAGACAAAACTTGCAGCCACTCGAGGTAGAGGGTGATGATAAGTGTTACTTTATATGGGTATATTGACCAGGTTAAGATTGTAGTGTTCGGGTAATCATCATCTTAGTAGTCTTAGCACTTATTCGCGGGAAGAAGCTGTTCGAGTGGAACTTAATTCTTGCCGATGGCATACGGAGGGAATGTGGGAGATTTTTTACAGTGTAAGTGGCATAGCGGACCAAGCCGTGAAGTTTAGTCCTGGCTGAACCAAGCAACGTAGTTCGTCCAAGATCTTTCCATCGAAATAGCAGTAAAGCCGAGAGAAGCTCGCAACATCCGGCCTATTAGAGAGAGGTTGAGGTAGATGATGGATTTCAGAGCAAGCTCTTTGACTCGCAGGCTGTTGCAAATGGTTCGACCCACGCAGATTGCCTAAATGTTTTAACTTCTTCAAAAAAAAATAAATAAATGCATGAATATATTTGATTGATGAAACTCGTATTGCTAAACCTTTAGAATCTACAGAAATACGGGGTTCTCAATATCTTTATCCATGTGCCAGACAATATTTATTAAATATCTACATATTCGTGTGTGAGATCGAAATTTGTCTCTCAATTTATTTCAGATATAGAGAGTTCGATCCACCCACTTTCACAAGTCCTGTAAACTCCTGGGCAAATAGGAAATCACAGCTCACGAACCCCGTAAGATCCCTGGCGGGTAGCGGAGCAGACCTTTCAAACCCCGTAGTCTTCCTGACGAGTCGAAGAATACAGATTTCGAGGTCCGTAGACTTCCTGGTGAGTAAGGGTCACAGCTCCCAATACGCTAAACATTGCTTCTGTAGTTTTCATAGCAAGTAGTATATGCTTGCGATATGGATTTACTAGACCCATGAGCAACTGGCTTTGAATTTGCCCATCTCCTAGACTAATTACCAACCACGGCTAAATAGCCTAATCTACCCTACTATTTAAACTGTAGCTGTGTGGAACAGAAGGGTTCCTCCCTTAGCCAAGGCTATTCAGTGAGCTTGGCAGGAATTCTAACTTGGCTCTCATTCCAGGAATACCCATGTTGTTATATCCTTATGCCAGACATAACTTGATAAATATTTAAATAAGTATCTGCGCGGTCAGAGTAGATCAGTGTAGAGAACTTGATCTTCAATTCATACTCAACTTTTATTTTTCTTATATCACAAACAAAAAATAACTTTATAAAATCTGTATTCTGTCCTGATTGTGTGTCGCTTTGACGTGGTAGGATGACTTGCGTGCTTCAACGACCTCCACAGCTATCTGTGCGGGGGCTTCGGCCCTTAGCAGGTCCAGCCAACCTCAACAGGTCTGTTTAGTGGGAGCTAGACGAAAGACTCATCCTGGTCTACCAGGTTGGGTGCTGTGCAGTAGGCTAACAACTTACTCACTTAAAAACTAGTTTGTTACAGAAACCTCAACGATATCTTCAAACAACATGGCCGAGGAAGTGTCCTTCAAAGCGCAGTTTATGACGCGTGCTTGTGAAATCTCCCGGGAAGGCAGCCGACACGACATGGGCCGATCTGAAGAGGATCGCCCAGAACCGCGTCCATTGGAGAGGTGTTGCTGCAGCCCTGTGTTCCCCAAGGAATTAAGAGGCATAATGATGAATTAATGAAAATTTGTATTAATATTTATATGGACTTGGTTTGTTTTACGAACTCTTCTGAACGTAGAGAAATTGATTTTCCTTAACCGCGTGTTCTGCTCTTGAAACAAAATAAACTTAATAAAACATATATTATTCTTTGTGCACTTCAGATTCGTACGGAATATCCCATGAGTTGAGTTTTCCAATTTTAGCCCGTCTTGTTTCTGATCATTTGACAGTGTGTCGTATCATACAACGTTTCCTTCGGACAAGTTTCTTTATCTTTTTTTTTATTTTCATCATACTGTTTCGACCGATATCCACTTCGGGCTTCGTCAGAATAACATATATTCATACGAGTATAACCACTAGTTGATTGGTTGGTTGGTTTTTATTTAGCAGCATAACCTCTATGTGTTATTTAAAGACGCAATTTCATTTTATTTGCGGAGATAATAAAGTTTTAGTGATACAAGTCTTACTAATCAACCCAGATCTGGAGGCAAAAGAGGTGGATTCATACCTTCCCAAGGGTACTAGCGTGTAAGTGAATATAATGAACCCAACTGGAATTGGAACTCGGCTCTACGATTAAAAATTCCGAGTCATTATCCATTAAACCAACCGCACATACAAACTTACAGCACCTTGTATTCATAAGCAGTCACCATCTAGGTATTGACCAGGCTCGACCTTGCTTAACTTCGGTGATCGTACGTAAGCATCAGAGCGACTATGTCGGACCCTAAACGCCGACAGAAAAACAATGCAGAACAACAAAAACAGTTTGCTATTTGATAAATACAACGTCATTGCAAATTTAGTTCAATATATAAAAAGACGGGATTTTTTTACACTAAAAAAATACTTCTTCATCTGTCTACGCATCTGTACAAATATATATTCCCAATGTGTCTATATGTACATCTATGTATACGCCCAAGTCTGCATAACTAGAAAGCATTTACTGTATGAAGACAGTTCCTGCCCATGTGTCTAGCTTGGTAATTATACAGAAAGGCTACTTTATCTTGCGATCGAAACGTTAAGTGCATGAAGCGTCGGGTAACAACCTAATCTGAAAATGCGATTATATTACGAAAGATTTTCAAACAATCTTGGACCTTAAGCCGATTATCGATCCAATCTGATTTATTGGCTTCTAAATTCGATTAGTGTAAATTAATAAAAATAAATCCATCCTGCCTTTTAAAAAAAAACGGCACTGTCTGGCCACTGCTATTGCCGGCAATATGAGCAGAGTTTATTAAAGTGAATCACAGTGTCCCCGGTTCAACCAAGGAACACCTGCTCATGTTTCAAACTGAAGTTGTGCATGATAAACGTATTTTCTAAATTTCGAAATAGTTGTTTAAAAATAAAAGATGCTTCTTAAATTATTAAGTAATTATTGAAAATGTTACGTAAAAACATTAAAATATATAATCGAACTGAAACTATATGTGGTTCCATATGGACACTATTCAAATAATGCAGAGTACTAATTAGTACTTAGTTTTTCTTATAATTTTGTACCTGTCTATATCTCTGGGATGAGGTATTGTGATTACTTGCATTATTTACATTATTCGGACTGTTATCCTCATCTTTATTGACATATTCAAAACGTTTCGGCCATTGTTACTCTACAACCTCCTTCAGGTGATAGGAATTTCGAAACGATCTCTTTATTTCATCGACGGGGGTAGATTGTTCTAGTTCCACGTGCCATGTCTCTTCCGGATGTCTCGGTTATTTCCTTTTAACTCAGTTCTCCAAATTTTTGTTTCACCACTGCTCACAACTCTCTTGGGTCTAGCTACTGGGTCTAAGCAACGTCTTTATCCACTGAGCCACGGTTCGGTACCAATCAGCTGAAGAAGGCCGGAGTCTACAACGGCCGAAACATTTTGAATATGGCAATGAAGATGAGGACAACAGTCCGAAACATGCAAATAATGCAAATAATTTTGTGCTTTTAAATGTTATATATTTATAGTTGTATAAAAAATGCCAGTGACTGATCGATAGAAAAAAACGAAGTATGAAACGAAAGTGAAAAGTGTCGCCGCTGGGTGTTGGCTTCACTGTCCACTTTTATAGCGCTTTAACACACACACACACACACACATACATATATATATATATATATATATATATATATATATATATATATATGAAATTATCTTCAAAATGCAGGTACAGGCATCGACTCAAAATAACAAAGTACATCTAATCTTTGGGAGACCTGCTCATTGAATTTTTAATTATCTTGACATGAAACAACACCTGGTGTCTATATATAGGATTAATTGCTTATGTTAAACTGTATATCTGTATTAGTGTTTGGGTATATGTGTGTGGATATGTGATCATATAATTAATTGACATTTGTAGGTAGTTATATGGCATCTATAAGTATACACATATGTGCGTTTATGCGTATGTATGCGTTTATATAGGGGTATTTTCTTGCATATATTTGTATGTGTGGATATATACATATATATGTGTGTGTGTTTGTTTGTGGGTATGTGTATGTATATGTGTGTATGTATGTATATGTGTGGATGTGTGTTTATGTATATATATATATATATATCTGTGTGTGTGTGTGTATAATGGATATATGTGTGGTGTATGTGTGTTTGTAGGTATGTATGTATATATGAATGTATTTGTACTTGTAGTTATATATATATATATATATATATATATATATATATGTTTGTATTTATGGTTGTTATATATGTGCTTGTTTATACATTTATGCGCTTATATATGTATGGGAGTGTATGCGTATGTACGTAGGTGTATATGCGTGCGTATATATATATATATATGTATATATATATATATATGTGTGTGTGTGTGTGTGTGTGTATCTTAATATTTTTGAATGAACTATCTATGCTACCTACAGTCTACTTTTGTTTGATAGTGATTTTAAAATTGCTTGTGGACTTAATAATCAACAGTTTTGCTGTGTTACATTTTAATCTTGTATGGACTCCTTTATAATCATTTGTATAATATTATTAGTATATATATATATATATATATATATATATATATATATATATATATTATAATTATTTTTTTAAATATGGTTCCATCGCGACACAGAAATTACTATGTTTCGAAACTGGTCAGCAGATTTCAAGTTTAATTTCCATATTAAACCTTAACTATTGGGTGGCAGTTTCATCCTCAAGCGATGTTTTGGAATAACTACGCTATGGAATGCTTTACTCATTTATAGTTTTGAAATGGAGGTGTGATCTAGGGTTTGTTTTTCATTATCAAGGGGTCACTGCTTTGATGAAAGTAAGGGTGTTTGTTATATGTCAAGTTTTTGGAGTCGTGTAAGGTTGGGATATTTTTTTTTTTTTTTTTTTTTTTTGTTTTGTTTTTTGTCTGGCTATAATAGCTAATCTTATCAAGCCCCCTGCTAAAAACACAAACTGATTGATGTCGTTGTGATGTTTTTTGTTTGTTTTTTTTACTGTCTGCTAAAACTCCAAATGATTGATGTTGTAGTTCGGTCATTTTAGGTTTTTTTTTTATGATTTCATAAAGTGGCGTTAAGATTATCATTGGGTTGTATTTCTAAACCTATTGTTTTTATTGAATTTGTTAATAGATTTTTTATGCTATTTTGTAATTTTTATATGTTAATGTGGAAATTATTATTATTATTATTTGTCCATTTATAAAATGCTAATTATTTAAGGCGAATATTTGGTGGTGTCTGCAAAAACCGTTATCTCATTTCTTTGATTTAATAAATTGTTGTTTTTTAGAAACTTAATAATGTGTAATTTTTCATGTAGGCATAAAGGGCATGGGTCAACCCAGGTTTTATAAGTTCTTTTTAATGTTTTATTTGTTTCTTTTAAAAATATTTATAGAGGCAGGTCTGATTTCTTTTTCTAATATTATTGAAGGAGATTTTGTTAAGTCTCAATCTTAGTTTAAATTCATTTTTTGTGAATCCTATATATATCTTTTAAATATTTGGATTCTCAATAGATGAGATTGTGCATTGGTATACCACAGATTCTATGCGGCATTTATTATTAAGAGGGCAATTTTCAGAGTTTCTACAATCACACAATTTTTCATTATATTTGTCTAATTTTAATTCAGGATCTTTATTTATTTGATTTTGGCATACGTGTTTTTTCAGGAATTTATTATTATGTTTTTCTATAATCCTTTCTAGATTTTCGGTACAGCTATAACTTAATTTTAGGATGTTTTTATTAAAGATCTTGCTAATTTGATTGAACGAGGCATGTACCAAATGATTTTTCTTTTTCTGTCTTTCCTCTGGTTTGTAATATTTTTTTTATGTAATTGATGTCAGAGTATTTGTAGCTGCTATTTTTTAGATCTTGGTTGTAAAACTTACTGTGTTTATAGAATATTTCTTCATTTGCAGAGTTCATGCTAATTCTTTTCCCTATTAATGACGGTATGTACTTAATTATAGTTGGAGGATGATTCTGTCGAGGCGGTTTACCCTTTTCAATTTTGTGTTGATCGTAGTTTTTAAATTTAGGTTTCTGAATTCACTATACATTATCTTTCTAATTTTATCTATTTTAAAATTGGTGGGACTCATCACTATCAGGAGGCCATCATCTCGGTATAGCCCGATGTCTTTAATGTCTAATTCACGATGCGCATTTAGGTTGTATAATATAAATAGACCGACAAGGTTAGAAGAATCCGCAGAGTCTAATGCACCCCCACCATTGTGATGTCCAAATGTTCTTCAGAGCTTTTAATCCATTGCTTCCCATTATGAATGAGGACAGATTTTTTACATTGAGAATTATGTTCTTTTCTTCTTCAGTTAGGTCTGAATATATAGTAGAAAACACTAAGGCAGTCGTGAATAGATCTGGTAGTAATGTAGTATATATATATATATATATATAATATTTTTTATTTATTTTTTATGCTACTGTGTAGGTTGATATGTTTATATATATTTCTGTGTATATATGGATATGCGTATATGTATGCATGCGTATGTATATATATGTGTGTATATATGCATATATACATATGTGTGTATATGTGTATGTCTATTTATGTATGTATCTGTTTGTAGTGATGAATGTGTGTAGACATACGTATGTATGTATTTTTATATATATTGTTATATATTTGTACTCGTGTATGTGTACTCATGCGTATATAAGTATATATGAGATATTTATATATATATATTTATGTCTTTTCTTTTTTATATATTAGTTGGTTTTATTTTAAGTGTTGCATTTTTCCTGGACATTTGAATTTGGTGTTTTTTATGTGTGTGTATGCATATATATTTTTTTTTCTATCTATTTTTATTCATTTTATTGTCTTTTTTCTTTGGCCTAATAAGACGCGCTTGTTAAGCATTATAGTGATTTACTCAGCATAGGCTAGTTGCTCCACAAGACCGAAAGTTTGAAGTACCCAGTCAGGATCGAACTCACTACTCAACCGTAATTGATTCAGCAAGACAAGCTTGCTAACCATTACACTACGTTGAAATACACAAAGTGATTTACCAACGGTAGCGTAGATGCGGAACAAAGCTGCAGTTATGAAGCACTGACTGAAAATCGAAATCTTATTACGGTTGGTGCTTCTTTTTATCATTTCTGATGTATGTAATGTCTTGGTTTAGTTTGTATTGGAATTGGTTGGATAGTTTTCTAAACTTATTTTTTTTAAATTTAAACATAGCTTCGAAAGGATCTAGAAATTTATTCTTAGGTGGGTGTTTTTTTTTTTTAGAGTTTATTTCTTCTCGGAATTTCGTGTGGCTATGGGGTTTAATTAAAAGTCTATTTTCCATCGTAATTTACGTAACGAAAATATCGCAATTTTTGCTAATAAATTTGATATTGCAGACAGAATGGGGAAGACACGCATAAAAAAATGCATATTTACTTTTCAAAGGCGACAAACTTAATTTAAAAAATAATGTACAATTACGGTTAATTAATCCTTCTAAAACAGAATTAGGCCTAATTTCTAAAAATATGCTCAAATAACAGACACTACAAGAAACACACTATAATGGTTATCTTAGCCCGTAGACACTCTCTACTAACTTATTATAATTCTATTTGGGTCAAAAGACAAAATGATTGTTTTGACGTTCCTTTGAAAGCATATGACTCCGCTCAAATTTCGGACTTAGTAGGTATCTACATATTAGTACACTCTTAGTAGGATTATTGATCCTAAGCAAGTGGGCCTTTACAGAGATGACGGACTTTTCTATATCCCAAGTAGTAACGGTCCTCTATCCTCTAGAATACAGAAGAAAATTCTAAGGGCTTTCAAATTTTTAGGTTTTAAAATTGAAATCTCATCTAACTTTAATATAGTCAATTTCTTAGAATTCACCCTCAGCTTCTTTAACAAAATCTATAAGCCATTTCACAAAGAAAACCAAACTCCGATTTACATTAATGTAAACTCAAATCACCCAAAATCAATAATTAAGCAAATTCCTCAGACTATAAACACTAGAATAAATAAACTAAACTTAGTCGACAAACACTTTAACCAAAATAACACTCTACAGAAAGTCTTCAATAGAAAAATTCTCAAAAATAATTAATCCTGCACCAAAAAAAAAAAAAACAGAGTGTTATTAGCACACCCAAAAGCCTAATGCTAAAAACATTCCAAGATAGCAAAACAGCGAAAAATTAACTGTAAAACCGGGATCAATTGTCCATTTGGAGGTACCTGTAAATCGGAAAATGTGGTATACCAAGCTACCTTTTTCCCGAAAGAAAACATCAACGACAAAAACGCATACATAGGGATATCCACTGGAAATTGGAAACAGAGACTATGCCGTCACCGACATTCCTTCTCCAATACTTCCTTGAGAAACCAAATCGTTTATCCAATCATTACTGAAAGATTAAAGATAGTTGTTTCACTCCGCTAATGAAATGGGTAATCATCTATCGATCTCAAACCCCTGATAACTTCCGCGACAGATCCGATTTGTGCATACAGGAAAAATTGCAATAATTAAATACACGAAAGCTAACCAATTGTTGAATCAACGGAACGAACTGATCTTCAAATGTAGACATAAAAACAAATTCAAAATCACTTAAAACGATTATTTTTTCGGGAGATGCACACTTGAAGTCTTGGTTCGTTGATATGGGTAATAGCACATATGGGTATACATCCATGTATATATAAGTAGGTATGTGTATATATATATTTATATTTTTATTTATTTATTTTTACTTTTAATTTCCGAAATGTATTTGTCTTATTTATCTGTATTTCAAATCCCTTCATTTAGGTTTGTTACTATTGCCATTATTGTAATTTCTATTAATTATTTGTATTAAGGACCCTTGAA